TTTGATTTAGTTCAATGTGAAGGGCACGAGCATTAACTTGGCCAGTCCTAACACGATTGACAATAGATATTTTTTCGATCTCAATCTCCACTGTTTCATCTAAACAAGCCTTCAGTATGACCAGACGAGTACTTGAGGAACATTAAAACACATTGCAAAGGGAAATTGTTGAAGCCTTGGTCTGCATTAAAGATTGGGATCGTGCCGATCAACGTTTACAGGATACAATTTCGCCGGCAAGTCAAGAATGGATCGATGAATTTAATAGATTAAAATTTAATTTTGAAGACGATCCTTCAACTTCAAATTCAATTGTAAATTTTAAATATGTCTTTGCTTTCGACATTGTAATTGTATATTTAGACTTTGTAAGTTTGTAAAATTTATAATTCGTCACAAAATGATTGCACTCATTTTTCCTCACTAAGTTTTTATCCCAATTGAATTTTTCTTGGTAACAATTTTTAACGAGGCAATCATGAATTACAAATTTAAAAATTAACATACAAAATTGATTAATTAAATTGTGTTAATAATGTGCGTTGAATGTTGATTTTAATTTTTATATAATTTTAACACAAAATAACTTAATAATTATCTATGTACAAATACAATTACTAAATAATAGTATATTATTTATAATATATACAAACAATATTATAAAAGTTAAAAAATATAATAAAAAATATTTTTTTTATTTCGGGCCATTCGGGCGGGCTCAGGTAGTGCTGAAACTTTGGACGGGCCGTCAGAGAAAATTTATTTTGAGCCCGAAGCCCGACCCGACCCGTCTGAATTTTTCAGGCCGCCCGCTCGAGCCCGAGAAGGCCCGCGGACGGGCCACGAGCCTAGTTTTGGCTGCCCAAACCCGGTCGCGCATCCCGAGCCCGCTCGAATGGCACGAAAAAAAATATTTTTTATTATATTTTTTAATATTTATAATATTGTATATATATATTATATAATATACTATATTTAGTAATTGTATTTGTATATGAATAATTATTAAGTTATTTTGTGTTAAAATTATATAAAAACTAAAATCAACATTTAACATACATTATTAACACGATTTAATAAATTAATTTTGTATATTAATTTTTAAATTCGTAATTCATCATTGGCTCGTTAAAAACCATACCAAGAAATATCCAATTGGGATAAAAACTTGGTAAGGAAAAAATAGTGACGAATTAAAAATTTTACACACCTGCAAAGTCTAAATAAACAATTACAATTTCAAAAGTAAATACATATTTACAAATTACAATTTAATTTGAAACTAAAGGATCGTCTTCAAAATTAAATGTTAATCTATTAAATTCATCTATCCATTCTTGACTTGCTAGCGAAATTGTATCCTGTAAATGTTGATCGGCACGATCCCAATCCTTAATGCATACCAAGGCTTCAACAATGTCCCTTTACAATGCGTTTCGACATTCCTCAAGTACTCGTCTGGTCGTACTGAAGGCTTGTTCGGATGAAACAGTAAGGACTAGGATAAAAAAAATACCCATTGCCAATCGAGTTAGGATTGGCCAAGTTAATGCTCGTGCCCTCCACCATTGAACTAAATCAAAAAAAATCTCTACTACCGTCGACTACTAAGCTCTCACTGAGGTACGCCATAAGCTCGTTGAAGTCGCCACCGTCGCTGCCACCTGTTGATGAAGATCCACTTCCAGCTTCTGTTTGAGTCGATGTCTTCTTCTTCAACCCGAAAACATTCATGAATGAATGCGGGTTTTCATCTCTTTGTTGCAGTTTCAATACTCCAGAGTTTGTATTTCTAAACATATTCTCTTATTTACTATTTGGGGAAAATATTTTTGCCTTTATTGTCAGAAATTGGTCAGAACAATTTATGCTTTAAAATTCAGCTAAGTTTTCTAAACCACTTTCTAAACCATCTAATTTTAATCTATGATAAAAAATAGTACCGAAACCATAAAATATTGGTAATTTAGATCAATATTTTTTAAATTTCTTTTCCATCGAAGCGATAGGAACTCCTGAAATTAGGTCCACCCTAAATTTACTAAATAAAATACTAATTCTTAAAATTTCACCTAAAGCTAAAGGTGATGTTGGGTAATATGTTCTACTAAGTTTTAAAGTAACATCATGAAACCTACCTAAAAATTGATACAAAATTTCAACAATTTACCAATTATATAGGTCTATATGTCATACTCCTAATTTTGCACTGATATAGTTCGTTATAGAATCTTTATAAGGGAGGTATTGTTGAAGCATTACATAAGTTGAGTTCCATCTTATAGGCATATCTAGAGCTAATGCTCTAAGAGTTAGATTTAATGCTTGTAAGAATCTAAACCAATCTTGTTCTCTTTGATGACTATCTTGAATTCATGCAATACTATCTCTAATTCTTTTAATGTGAGTAGATATTGATTTTAAACCAGATTTAACTACTAAATTAATTACATGACATGCACAACGTTAGTGAAAAATAGTACCATTACCGAATAAACTTAAATCATTTTCAAAATATTCAATAGCTTTAGTATTTACACTAGCATTATCTAGTGTTATAGTCAGCACTTTATCTCTTAATCAATATTCATCAATTACATTTAAAATTATATTATATATTAAATCGGTGCTATGTGATCCTAAAACACATTTAAAACATAATATTCTCTTATCTAAATCAAATCTTTTAAAGTAATGTACGGTTACAGATAAATAATATTTGTTGGTAACAACATACCAAATATCTATCATTAACGCAACGCAACCGCTAGTCGAGTGGAAAAAGTTTATTAATGCTTCTTTTTCTTTTTTAAATAATTTTAACAAATCTTTCCTAAAAGTAGTTTTTGAAGTAAACTCTGCATTAGGATTATGTACAACTTTAATATATCGTTGACAATTAGGATGCTCTACAAAACTAAGTGGTTGATCTAAATCATTCGCGCAACGTCCATGCGATCTACTTGCGGATCGTATTTCCAAGTGGTTAGACTACCAGTTGCGCGATCAAAATATAATTGTGTTTGGCGAAGTTCGGCTCCGTCAGATTGGCTAAGCTTTTGAAGACATTTTTCTGATTGTCTTTTCAAGTGTGTTGTGCCGTGAATGGTGTTGCCTTGTAATTTAAAAAAATAATATTTAGACTGAACTATATGTTTAGTATTGTCACTATTGTCGATCTCCTCAACTGTGTTGAAGTTATCCCAAACTATCGAGGGGCGCTTGTATTTCATTTTGGAGGTTGCAACACTTGCAAACGCAATAGCACTTGCACTCACCTCTCCTCCACGCCCACCACCTTTGCGACCATGACCTCCAGTACGTCCACCACGGCTCGAATTTACAGGTTCCTCAGTTGGTTGTGTTTGCGATTCCTACGTAATAAATTCATTAGTAGGAAATTGCCCTTCTTCCACGTTGTGTTGGACATCAACAAGAATACCACCATAAGTAAAATAATCCATTATAAAAAAATAAGAGCGATTTGAGAGAGCTTTAGGAAATTGTGATAGTTTTTAAAAAAATTATGAGAGAGATTTGAGAGATTGAGAGAAATTATGAGGGATTGAGAGAGTTTAGATGAGAAAAATGTGTGGGGAATAGGGGGTATTTTAAGAAAAATTTTTGGGTTAAAAATTTGATTTTTTTCCCCCAATCGGATCCAACGGCCATTTTCTTGTCTCGGCGGGTCGGGTTCAGGCTGAAAATCAGGCAACGGTCAAAAAAAGAGCCGTTGGAGTCTGGCAACTCGGGCGCCAACGGTAAAAAATATAGCCGTTGGTCGGGTTTCAGGCAAGTTGGGCCAGAGTGGAAATTTTCTAAAAACTTTCGGTGATTGACGGCAATCTCACGGCAGCGGGCTTCAGCGATTCGTCCATTTTTGGGCAACCCGATCCCGAAAATCTAACTTGGACGGGCTATTTTTCGGGCCTGCCCACCGAGCCCGTCTGTGGGCCTTCTCGGGCTTAGGCGAGCGGGTTCGGGCGTCGGGCTCAAAATCAATTTTTTCTGACAATCACTTGCATCGAGCTTAAAATCAATTTTTTCGAGCAGTCACGGGCGTCTAAAGTTCCAACACTACTTGTGATAATCATAAATTATAAAGTCGTCTCTCTAATTTATTGTTGAACATCACCTTATTGTAGTCAAATTCTATGCGGTGGACTCAAACTACGCGAATAATGATTGCTTCATGGCACCATGCCGCGGGACTATGTACCATTTACAAGAGTATCGGAATTAAGAAGAAGACTTTCAAAGTGAACGTTAGCTGTTCAATTTCACACACTCTTCACTGTATAATTGTATTAAAGAACGTTTTGAGTGTGGAAAGCCTAGTTCTGCATTGAAATGCATAAATAATTATCACTGGAAAAACAAGTTAAGATTCCAGTTGGATGTGATGTAATACTTAATTTTATCTATATGTACTGCAATGGTGACCACCTACAGAATCAATATTCCCGAGATGGAGTTCTTTTCGCAGACGTAGTTCCTAAAATGTGAAACTGGACATTAATGACGAAAACAATCATGAGAGCCAACCTTTGAGTTACATTTCTGAACTAATATTTAATATTATGATATGTTTGCCATACCTTATGTTATTAATTTTGATCTTTATTGTTTTCGGTTATTATTTGAACATATTTCACGATTACTTTTTAGGGAGATTCATTAGTATGCTTGACGTACCGATAGATTAAATTTTTTTAGCCGTTAAATATGCGTAATTTTTTACTTTAACATGATTTTATACAAATTTAACAAACAAAAAACTTAACATAGTGGTAGTCTCTACTTTCTATTTATTTAGTGAATTATAAATTATTTTCTCTTACTTGACTAAATACATACCACTTAGTTATAATTTTTACCCTTTTATTTGTAAGTTTCCATTATCCATATCAAATTCTGAAAAAAAAAAAAAATAATTATTTCGCACGCTTGTTATTAGGGTGTTCATTTCGTGGACTCCACGTGAATCGGCCGAACTCAAATTAGAAATTGGGCCCAAGTCGGCGTTCAGATTACAAAATTGCAACCGTGACTCAACTCCCAATTCAAGTTTAATGGCTGACAATGGAATTCAACTGTCCCTTGAATTCCATTAACTCGAACCATTTTCTACAGTGCAATCTCTTTGCACAACTCCAGCCTTTTCCTCGTAGATTTCCTGCGCGCCTTATTGTTGCTTTATTTTCTTCCTCTTTTCACCGACAGCTCTCTCTTATGTGTCGATTCCCATCATCCACAGAGAGATTCGTTGTAAATATTCGAGAGGAAAATTTTTTTCCTCACGTGGTGAACCTCCTTCATAGATCTGTTTGTGTATGAGCGAGGAACCCTTTCCTTTGCCTTATTCGCTTTGCCCAAAACAGAGAAAATAGCTGGAAATAGAGGTTTTCAACGTCCTCTACTGGCTGTTAATTTTGGGTAGATGTGTTTATAACCGGCGACCTCAACCCCTGCACCACCATAATCAGTGGAGATTTTGCCGCGGTCGCTGTCGGGGGTGGAGAAATTATGGTATTGCATCCACATCATATTTGGGATTTTTGTTGGAGGAGCACACACATTCATCTACCAGATCGAACTCGGTAAATTTGTTGACCTTCTTTGTTTTTCCATTTGATCCACCGGTACTGTTGAAACCCTATGCGTATGTTAAACTCCGGCCTCCCTTCGACAGATTTGTTTGTGTATGAGCGAGGAACCCTTTCCTCTGCCTTCTTCGCTTTGCCCAAAATGGAGAAAATAGCTGGAAATAGAGGTTTTCGACATCCTCTACTGGCTGGTATTTTGGGTAGATGTGTCCGTAACCGGCGACCTCAACCCATGCACCGCCGTAATCAGTGGAGATTTTGCCGTGGTCGCTGTCGGGGGTGGAGAAATCATGGTATTGTGTCCACATCACATTTGGGGTTTTTTGTTGGAGGAGAACACACATTCATCCACCAGATCGAACTCGGTAAATTTCTTGACCTTCTTTGTTTTTCCATTTGATCCACCGGTACTGTTGAAACCTATGCATATGTTAAACTCCGGTCCCCTTCGACTTTCAGGCAGCCTTTTGTTCATCATCAGTTTAAATAAAAGATTGTCTATTTCAAGAGGACAGTTGTGACAGAGCAATTTTTTTCTAAATATCAGTGCTTATTAATAAATCAGAGTAATCAACTTAGCCTCAGGTTTACTGAGATGAACACACAACCGTTTTGTTTGATGGAGTTTATTAATTGTTTGGATCGAAACCATTTTGCTTATAGGTTGAAGTTTTCTCTGTTTTTCATGAAAAGAAATTGTTACACAAAATGATAATTTTCAGATTGGCAGTGAGAAGAAACTAATGTGATTTGCCAATGCTTGCTACTTGAGTTAGTAAATTTTGCAACAAAAATTTATTAATAGGAAGCAGCTTGAATCCCCTGTGGTAGGTTGGGACTCATTCCTATTTTCAGTACCGCGTTTACAATATTTATTGCATTAAGTGCTTTATTAAAATTTTAATGCTCATATCCTCTTTCTGATGAGCTTTATCTCCCTTGTTTACATATATATACTACACCCGTTAGGAATATGAATGTGGACGAGTAGCTCTTTATTTTCCTATACATTGTGTGTCAAAGCCAGAGCAATAGGAAATTACAGGACCAATGGCAATATTTAGGCGCGACCATTTCTAAGTACTTCGAGGTCATTTAGAGGCACTTTATAACCTCCGTTGTGACTTCATAATACCCCCAAATTTCTTATCGATCCAATTATTATAGTAAATAGAAACAAGTATTTACCATGATTTCAGGTATTTGATTAATACGATTAATATTGCCTAATATGTTTAAGGAGAGATGTGAAAATATTAATCCCATTTGTAGGACCTCATGGTAATTGGTAATTTATGTAATAAAATGATTACAGAATTGCATTGGAGCTCTTAGCAGGACTCCTGTCTCTTGTGTTCCACCACTCGAAAACCCCGAGGTATGGAAAAATAGGAAGGGTTTCTACTCCCAAAATATGTTAGGAGTGTGCTACTTCAACATGAAGTTTACATACGTGTTAACCGGATGGGAAGGATCTGCCCATGATGCTTGCGTTCTTGCGTCCGCAACAGAGACGTCCGACAAATATTTCCCAAATCCACCTCCTAGTATGAGAACAATGATCTTTGCTATACATTTATTTTCAGATCAAATAACTTTGAATGATTTTCATATACTGTGAATTGTTGGCCTTTATGAGTTGTTGATATTACTCGACGCGGCCGTGTTTACTTATTGATTTGTAATTGATACTATAGGTAAATACTATCTGGTAGACGTTAGTTATGCTAACAGTGATTGTTTCTTGACACCATACCGGGGGAGCACATACCACCTTCAAGAGTATAGGGCAAGGCATGGTCGTCCTCGAAGTAAGCGTGTGTTGTTCAATTACATACATTCATCCCTAAGGAATTCTATTGAGCGCATTTTTGGTCTTTGGAAAGCGAGGTTTCGCATACTGAAGTGCATAAATAATTACCCAATAGATAAACAGGTACAAATTCTGATTGCTTATGTCGTGCTTCACAATTTCATAAATATGTACAACCATAACGACGATTACTAAACTAGTACACGAGAGATGGAGTACCGGTTACAAAAATTGATCCAAAAAATGCGGATCAATATGTCAATTAGAATCCAAATCCCGATCAAGCAACGCAACAAAATCAGAACCCCCCACAAATCGTAGACAAATGAATCTTTTAAAAGACGAGATGGCTAATAGCATGTGGGGTGTATTAGAAGCAAATCGCCATATATAGTTACCTATTTGTTAGGCAATTTGGACCAACTTATTAATATGGATTTGTTAGCCAATTTAGACCACTATTAACTTGGGTTTGTAATGATAAACTTCAAGACAGTTTCTTTTAGAAATTAGTTGTAGGTGGCTAAAGTACAATTTTTTTAATAAAAATCCATGTCAAACTTCTTGCTAAAATTGGAGTTAGGTTTTTGAGAAAGTGAACACAAAATTCAAGTTGAACATTCAATCATTGTCCTAGTAAATACTCAACTCAAATTTTAATTACAATTCCAATTAATAACAACTCAAATCCATTTTCTTAATTCTAATAAACAAATTAGAGTGGGCGAAGTGAACGCACCCTTTGTTTTGTTTGTTTCATTGATTTTATTTTTTTAATTTCAAAAACATCTTATGTTAAATTATCTTAATTGAGAACTTTTTATTTTCCTTATTAAGATTTTTTCTCATTGAGTGCTTTTTCTTGAAAAGGTTTTTAATAAGACACGCGTCAAAAAAAAATTATATCCATGTTGATTATTTATGCATTGCTTGGTTTATGCCTATGAATTGTGCAAATTTGAACCTTTTTTCTTTTGTTTGAATTGTAAAATCTTGATTCAAAGATTCGTGTCATGGTTTGAATTATGGTTCGTGGCTTGCTACAGTGTTTTCTCTAAAAAAAAAAACACATGTAAATAAAAAATAATTCTGAATTCATCAACCAAACATTCTCTAAACATGAGGTTTAAACTGCAATGCTTTTGAATGTAGTTAAAAAATTGAACGGATAATAAAATTTGAATGTATGTGTAGACATGTGTTGCAATCTTTTCACCATAATTGTTGAAAATTTGTGCACATATATGCTAGGCAAGTAAATACCAAGGAATGAAAACAAATAAATCATTGCACATACCTCTTCTTCTCCATTGCACATAGCCTAACTTGTTGAAATATTTACCATCATGTGTTTCCAAATACCATCAAATCCATATCTCTCTGACCGCATGGAAAAACTCACTTGTACTGTACTTGACTTCTTTGAAGAAGATTCCCTGCTGCCATCAGTTCAGTTTTGAACTAGATCATTACCGGAATTCTCTAAGCAGAACAAAAGAAAATAGAAGCTTAAAATTTTTAGGGTAGGAAAAGCTTTTTATCCTCCAGATTTGTTTTAACTGTTAATTAATTTTTTTTAACGTTAAATATATGAGTGTTCATATTAAAACGCAAAATTATTTTTAGTCTTAACGTTAAAAAATTATTTTCATATTAAGTTTAAATTTAATATCACCAACAAAATTGTTTCAAATTTATTCCATTTTCTCCCTATCCCTTCCAAGAATAATTTCCCTTCGCAAATTGCCAGCCCATCGCAATTTTTGTTTTTCATTTTATTTGCTTTGAATATCAAGTTTTCTTCCTCTCTTTTTTCCTCATTTTTCTCATTTGTAATTCACTAATATTCCTCTTTTATTTCCTTTGAATATGAAAAAAAAAAAGAAAAAAAAAGCCTTAACAAATATTTAACTTAAGGGTAGGATAATAATCGTTGGGAACGAAACAGATTAACGTGGTAATAGATATAGCCTAACAATACTAATTCGACTACTCAAAGACTACGTGCGAACTATAGTTATACTCATAATCATAATCTTCTAATTAATTCCATCAACAACTAGCTAGTAAAATAAGCACACTAATTAGTATAGATAAACCCAATAATAATTAGCTAATTAAATATCATTCTTAAAAAAAGCACCTCCTCCAAGTTGACGCAGAAACACATCAATCTCATCACCATCTTCCATTTCCATCTGCAGCAAACAGATTTTTTTTTTTTTTAAAAAAAAATCACATGTAAGCTGTTATTTTTATAATTAAAACGAAAAACAAATCACACAAAAAAAAAAAAACAAAAAGGAAGCAATTCTTTTAACGAGTATATATATCCAGAATGTTTCTCTCTCTTTTTTCTTTCTTTATTTTCTTTTTTTGAGTTTTGTATGTTTAAAAAAATAGAAAAATATATAGCTGGAGAGAAAGAGAGAAAACTATAGAAGGACCTGGTTTTTTAGTTTGACGTTGATAACAATATTGAGCTTCTTTTCCTCTTCCTGATTCTTCTTCACACCCGACACTTACTTTCTTTTTAACTTCCCCGGAAAATTTTCAGATTCAAAGATGAACAAAATGTAGAGAAACCAAATTGTTAACACTTTTCTCTACTTTTGCTTGTTCTTGTTTTATCTTCTAATGCTACCTCTTATAAGAGCGGAAAAGTACGGGGAGAAAATTACTTTAATATTATATTATTCATTTGTTGATAATAAAATTATTATTATTTATTGTACTACTACTATGTCTAAATTTGAGATGACTTTCGACTAAACAATTTGTTTCACAACTCAAGTTAATAATTTGAGTTTAATTTAAATTGTGTGTATGAAAAAAATATATATTATATTAAAAAAATTAAATTTATATATTTATGAGTGAAAATAATGTATAAATAGAACTTAAATTGTGATTTGAATTATAAAAAGAACAAGGTCAGACTATTACAATATTCTCCTCTCATAAAAAAATTTAAATTTCAAACGTCATAATTAATAATTATGACTTACGTATACCTTTTGAACGGGTCTATGTTTTTCAAGGCACTAATAATTAGGTTATTTTTAAAAATATCCCTCAAAATGAAATTTTTTTTTCCTTTTAATATTAGTCTATATACTTTGACTTTTTAAATTAGAACTAATCAATGAGTAAAACTTTTTAAAAAGAATACTTTTAAAAAGTCGAGGACTTAAAGGATGTATAATATATAATTTTTTCTAATAAACGGTAGAAATAATTTACTTTTATAAAAGCTTGAATTTTTATTTTTGTCAAATAATTTAACAGTGATGATTTTTAAAAAAAAATTATTATAATGATAAGCCTAGAACATAGTATATTATTTACAATAATTACATACGTGACAAAAAAATAAATTAAATTAGTGTTTTGTTAATTTTTTAAGTTACACTAAACAATTTAAGGAAAAATACTCAAAATACCTCTTTTGTTTTGCTTAAATCTCACTTTTAGACTTTTCATTATGCAAATGCCGATAACACTATTTTTAAAATTATATTGATCTTACTGTGTTCTTAAACTTTGCATTCATTCCTACTTTACCTTTTAAATTTTTAAAATTTTCACTTTATCCTTTAAATTTTAAATTTATCCCATTGAAATTAGACCAAAAAAAAAAAAAGTTAACGGTGACCATGTGGTTTTTATCTTTTTTTTTATAAATATTGAAATAAAATGATGACGTGACTGTATTATTCTCTTTTTTATTTATATTTAGTAAAAACTGCACATCTCCAGAATGTTTCTCTCTCTTTTTTCTTTCTTTATTTTCTTTTTTTGAGTTTTGTATGTTTAAAAAAATAGAAAAATATATAGCTGGAGAGAAAGAGAGAAAACTATAGAAGGACCTGGTTTTTTAGTTTGACGTTGATAACAATATTGAGCTTCTTTTCCTCTTCCTGATTCTTCTTCACACTCGACATTTACTTTCTTTTTAACTTCCCCGGAAAATTTTCAGATTCAAAGATGAACAAAATGTAGAGCAAGCAAATTGTTAACACTTTTCTCTACTTTTGCTTGTTCTTGTTTTATCTTCTAATGCTACCTCTTATAAGACCGGAAAAGTACGGGGAGAAAATTACTTTAATATTATATTATTCATTTTTTGATAATAAAATTATTATTATTTATTGTACTACTACTATGTCTAAATTTGAGATGACTTTCGACTAAACAATTTGTTTCACAACTCAAGTTAATAATTTGAGTTTAATTTAAATTGTGTGTATGAAAAAATAAAATTATATTAAAAAAATTAAATTTATATATTTATGAGTGAAAATAATGTATAAATAAAACTTAAATTGTGATTTGAATTATAAAAAGAACAATGTCAAACTACTACAATATTCTCCTCTCATAAAATATTTAAATTTCAAACATCATAATTAATAATTATGATTTACGTATACCTTTTGAACGGGTCTATGTTTTTCAAGGCACTAATAACTAGGTTATTTTTAAAAATATCCCTTAAAATGAAATTTTTTTTTCCTCTTAATATTAGTCTATATACTTTGACTTTTTAAATTAGAACTAATCAATGAGTAAAACTTTTTAAAAAGAATACTTTTAAAAAGTCGAGGACTTAAAGGATGTATAATATATAATTTTTTCTAATAAACGGTAGAAATAATTTACTTTTATAAAAGCTTGAATTTTTATTTTTGTCAAATAATTTAACAGTAATGATTTTTTAAAAAAAATTATTATAATGATAAGCCTAGAACATAGTATATTATTTACAATAATTACATACGTGACAAAAAAAATAAATTAAATTAGTGTTTTGTTAATTTTTTAAGTTACACTAAACAATTTAAGGAAAAATACTCAAAATACCTCTTTTGTTTTGCTTAAATCTCACTTTTAGACTTTTCATTATGCAAATGCCGATAACACTATTTTTAAAATTATATTGATCTTACTGTGTTCTTAAACTTTGCATTCATTCCTACTTTACCTTTTAAATTTTTAAAATTTTCACTTTATCCTTTAAATTTTAAATTTGTCCCATTGAAATTAGACCAAAAAAAAAAAAAAAGTTAACGGTGACCATGTGGTTTTTATCTTTTTTTTTTTACAAATATTAAAATAAAATGATGACGTGACTGTATTATTCTTTTTTTTATTTACATTTAGTAGAAACTGCACTATAAAGAGTTAAGTGGAAATAATTTAAAATTTAAAAAGTGAGATAAGAGTTTTTAAAGTTCAGAAATTAAATTTGAGATGATCTAAAATTCAGGGATGATAGTGATAATAATCCATTAAAATTAAACTCAAAATATCTGCTAAAACAATTTAATTCTTTAAAAACAGATAGGGTATCCTGGGTATTATCTCTTTTTATTACTGCCATAAGCTTGTAATTAATTAATCTTATTAAAAATCTAGGGACTCGTTAATAAGGCATTTTTCCTCATAACAAAT